TACATCTCGATACATCAAGTTCAACAGAATGGGTCAGTACTTGGCATAGTATCAATATGGATAGTCCCGGTAAATGGGCTTGTGATGCAAATTTCACCAAATTTGAAGACGTCAAATCGCCGAAATGGTCCACTAGAGGATGGACTTTGCAGGAATTGGTCCTAAGCAAGATGGCGTTTTATGTGAACAATCTCTGGGAGCCTTTACCCAGAGTTGTAGAAGGTTTGGGACCGTATTACTACCATTGTTCTTATCTTCAACAGCATATACCCGAACAAGATACAATCAATGCGCCTAAAGAAGCGAAATCTTTTCTTTCCAACTTGGAAAATCTGAAATCACTCATGGATACCAGTGAGAAGGTACGTAGATATTCCAGGTCCCCATGAGACCACGCCTTCAACTAGAGCTTTAAATGAGCTAACAAGACATAGATCTCTTATTTTGATTCAACAGAAGACCTAGAAAGATCAAGAAGAATCATAGGTATTCTTGGCTATCTTGGAGTACAATTCCCAGGAGAAATGAACGACGATAATTCAGGCGCCTATATTCGGGATATAATATCTCGTGCAGGGTATGATATTGAATCACGAATCAATATGGAGACATCCACCGCTGAGAACCTCCGGATACTGTTCACAACACTTGGTTTCAATTTGAATCGCAATTCAATCCGAGCTCAAGTAAGGACTTTGATCAAACTTCTGATTAGAAAGTTAGTCGATGATTGTTCCCCTGCTATTGAAGCTGATCGGAATAAAGTCTCTGAATTCACAAAGGTACCTCCACCTGAGTGCTGTCGTGGACTTAGCAGACCAACCCTTCCAGCTCACGATACCTTGTCATTAGCATCATATCGAGAATGTACAGTTCCTATCGATAGAGTTTACTCACTTATGGGAGTTCTCGGTGTAAAGTTTTCAGCATTCCATGCAGAAGGTCCAACCAAAGCACTTTGTCGGCTACTTGACGAGGTTGTTATTACTACTAATGATGTCTCAATCTTCAATTGGGCCAGGAAAGATCTTGGAAGCCCGATTAGAGGACGATCTCTATATCCGTCAAGCCTGACTGCCTTTAGTCCGGAGAAAACGGAGAATTATTTCACTTCAAGGAATGGTGAATTAGCGGCGGCATCCAAGGAAAAGAGATATAGATTGCAAGATACAGCATCTAAGATTACTTTACTATTGCGTCAAACCATTGATTTTATCAGAAGAACAGCCCATCAGGATATTCCGACCGTCTTACTCCAAACTATTCTCAAATTTATTGAGGATATTAGCTTGAAGGAACTTAGGCCACAATTGGGCCACCTTGGAAAACTGGTTGTATACCTCGAGAACACTTCAACTTTCGAGAAGTACAAACCAAAAGTTGGCTATAGAACCGAGAAAGAAAAGGCTGAAAAATCACTTGTTCATGAAGAAGAGAAGCCAGCAACCCAAAATGACGGAAACTTTGCTTCGAGGTTTGGGTTTAAAACACCTCAAAGACCTCAAATGCCACAGATACCACAGATGCCGCAGATGCCACATATTTCCGCACCAAAGCTCAGTATGGGACTTGGGGGATTTGGAAGAAAGGCGAAGGAACCATTGAACCCTATGAAGGAAAGTGTGAATGCTCCACTCGCCCTTCACGTCGAGCCAGAAATTTCAGCGGTCGAATCTTCAACGGAAGAATCAAAAAGTTTGATCGATGAAGTGAATCATTGGTTATCCCAAGATCAAGATATCAACAGCATTCCAAAAGAATTCCAACCACTTTTTGATGAGATTAAAGCTCCAAAATTGAATGGTCCTCCCATGGGGAAACGTCAAAAGCCACAGATAACTCGAGAACTTCTAGGTTCTAGTATGATATGTCCAAATCCAATCATGCTTACAACTTCTGGTATTGAAGGCGTCTTTGATATCCAACGGGTCATAATCGAGATGCAAAATCCCGAACTCCTCCGATATCAAGTACAAAGCGCAGTGAACGATAGTCAAAAGATAAGCGGACATTGCACAATCAGTACTGCACTTTCTATGATAAAAGTCAATTTCACTTGTGAAGCAGGGGCCTTGAAGAAACAATTGGATGTTTGTGATGTGGTTCAGAGAGCACTGTCTGACCAAGAGGATAAGAGAACAGTTGGTTTAATGAATCCTAGACCGGCTCTTACCACAGGACAAGAAAGTGATAGCTATTACAAGAAACTAACCTCGCTATCCTCTGGCTTCATGGGGAAAGTGCCTGAAAATGTTGATCCCACAGAACAAATTCAGACTGCCCCTACTCCAGATTCCGCGGCTCAAGTACAAGGCCCAGGCGAGAATTCAGAGCAACTTCGTGTGGTTCGTATGTTGGATTTTGTCCAAGAAAATGATATCAATCTCATTGTAGGTGAATGGGTTCTCGCCAGGTTTACAGGCGTTGAAGGGGCGAAATGGTTCCTATGTCAATTGGAACTGGGGTCGACTCACAGTTACTATGGACGACGGATCGCCACAGATGAAATTGACTTTGAGAATGTGGTACCTGAACCTGGACTTGTTGACCATTGGGAAAGCTATATGAGAAATAAGAAAAACGAACTTTGTCGTATTGTAAATGTGTTGGTTCAAGGACGGGTAGCTCGACAGTACGCGGACTCAGTCACCAGCTCGGATATCAAACCCGAGATTGATGATGATTCAGATCACGAGGGCTCCGAAAATAAAGAAAAGCTCAAAGACTTTCTTTTCAGGAGAGGGACACTCATTGGCGCCGAACTTGTACAAACGTTGACCGATATCTGGGGTGAAAGATTGGATTCAATGTTGAATGATACCATTCTTCAACAAGTTCCAAAAGGACTTAGAGCTGCGATTATGAATTTGAACGAGAATGAGGATTTATTACCAGCTATGTTTCTGAGTGGTATTCAGGTACATATGTTTTAAAGAGCGAGGATTGGCTTAATTATTCTAATATGAAAGACTGTTTGCGCGTTCGTACTCGGCCATTTTGATGTTGTGAATTGAAAAACTTTAAATTTCAGCCACAGTGGCTTGACGGACATTGTTCATTCCTTGTGTAACCTTACCTAATGAGGTACCACCTAGGCACGTGCTAGGTACCTAGCTGTAAATTCATAGGTTCATAGATTCGTACTTTGACCAATAGCATTCCCCACTTCGGGTAGAAGACCCACCAACCAACCAGCCCGGACTTCTGAATTCTCACCCACAAAGTCGGGCAGAATTTTGTGATTAACCTAGCCCAACCACCTCTTTCATGACATCGAGATTCGAAACATCCGAAAACTCATTGACGCTTTCTAATGAAAGATCTAAAGATCATATCTATTGGGATCAAGTAAGTATCAATAATATTGATTGAGTCTGTTGTATATAAGATTATCATCTTGCCACCTGGCTAGGTAGCATCTAGTAAGATTCAGCCTGAGATTGAGATGTAGCTATGAACATATCATAGTAGAACACGATTTGAAAGGGAAATTCTCGTGATCGAGTACGTACGTACAATGGTGTACGGCGTAAGGATACTCCTCACCGTGTGCTTGCGAGCCGATGTGGATATTCTGTCTCAGCCCTTTTGTGTAAGCCGAAAAAGCCACAAAGTTGGGGGTCGAGGGGGTCTAACAAATGTGAATGGCGATTATAAGCTTAATTTGAATGCCCTGGAACCCTCCAACTTAACCCTGTCCTGCATACATATCCAGTAACCAATACAAAAGTGATTTGCCGATCTATATACGCCGTTGGGTTATTTCCATTGCCGCTCTGAAATGCATTCATCGTGGGCTCATGCTTATTCTTTTTCTTGAGTATTTGTAAATGGGGCCCCCATATTCCATAGCCCCTAGTTCATTGGCCCCTCAATCTCACTATAAGCGCCAGCTTCTTACGTGAGGACCTAATCTTTTTACTTCAGCCAGTTTCAAATTTTAAAACTCTTCAAATATCTGAACGACCCTAAGAACTAATTGCAACTCAGAGGGCGACTTCTTTCATCCAAAATCCTCAAAACTATCTTGGTGTCGACCACAACATTTCCAGATTCTCATTCGTGAAACGGGAAACTTTTCGGATAAACAACGGTGACACCAAGACCTGCGGCATAACCCTACCAAGGAATTCCGCTATCATGGTAGACGTTGTATCTATTATCATCGCCGTCGTATCCCTCCTGGGTTCGCTCGCGGCAGCAGGTTTCACAGGGTGGATCTCATATTATTTGGACCAAGCCAAACAGCGTAAAGCCACTAAAGCTTTAATTCACAAATATCGAGATCCTCTCACACTTGCTGCATATGATCTTCAATCTCGAATATGGGGTCTTGTAAATACTTTACTCGACTATTATGAAGATGAAGAAAAACAAGAGAATATCTATGTCTACACCGCCTTCTTGATTGGACAATATCTTTCATGGACATATATTCTACGCCGACAAGCACAATTCCTGCAATTTTCAACAGATCAGACAAATCAAAAACTCAATCAAATTTTGGACGCTATAACGGATCAATTCAGTTGGGATAGACACGCAGGGGAGGATCCTTTCATGCTCTGGCGTGGACAACAGATGGCCATTGGAGAAGTAATGACTATTGAAGAGGAAAAGGAACAACTTTATTGCATGGGATTTGCTGCTTTCTCAAAGAAATATCATACTGATGCCGATTTCAAAAAGTGGTTCCTACCAATTGAAAGAGGTGTCAATATGCTTGTGGATGCACGCCGACGACAAGATCCCATTGCAACTTTTCGATTGCGTCGATTACAACATCTTTTAATTGATTTGGTCCTTTTATTGGAATTTCATCGTGCAAGAAATGGACCAAATACGCAATTGAAAGTTAATGCTGCTGCGTATGAATGCAAGTGCGAAAATTGTCCAGGTGATCTTGTGTCACATCCGACTGAAAAACTCCCAGTTTAATGCTTTGATTTGGAAGCATTAAATGTGCGTCATGCAGGGATATGTGTAGTGCCAGCTACCTTAGATAACTCTAGAGCGGGAGATATTGGTAATGGGTGGTTTTCGAAAGACTTGACGATGAAGACGAAAAGAGGAGGATTGGATTCAATTGATCGATACGGATCAATATGCTTCAGCTATTGCAATCGATGCAGATGATGAATCTCGTGGAGATAATGGATATGGAACAATACGAAGTTATGATGAATATGTTAGCTTGTAAGCATTGTGTTATGATGGATTTTGAGGAGTTGGTGATATGGTCATTTGGGATAAAATACCCAAACATAAGGGAATGAAATGAGTTTCATATATAGTCGAATGACTTGCTTAGATACAAACGTAGACGTGTATCAGAATCATTTTCGGTGACGATTCAAGAGTGATATCAAGTCGCCGTACATGCAATTGATGAGTTATGATGTAAATGAAGCACAAGAGGTAGGAGGATAGGTAGGTAGGTACTTGGATATATGCTTATATAACCCTAGCATTTCCCCGCCATTAATCTCGAAGGAAGCTTAATGACGATTCCGATATTCACCCGGACCTGTACAGATTTTGAGATGTGCAACAAATTAACTTACCGCTGAGCGTCATGTGATAAGCACGTGCCGATAATCTCGTTGGTCGCAATCTTTCGACGCTATATACGACACTTCATACGGGACGGGAAACATTCTCCATCCTTCGCACTATTCAACAAGCAGATCTATCAAATATTCGGGCATTTAAATTGACTAGTAGTTATAATCACGATAGTCAATTCTTCTTATTGTGACTTAAAGGCATGAAATCGTTGCACCTGTGTACAATTTCGACGCTCCAATCAGGGAGCAAAAGCTTTACATTTTCGTTCTAACAACGTTCCATCCTCTCTAGGGAAGAATCAAAAGAGTACATCTTCGACGCGATGATTCCTTTTTCTTCCCGTAAGTCTTTGGCGCGTTCGTTATCTATGGACAGTTGACTGAGAGATTTGCTTCAAATGGATGCCTCTTCCCCCAGGTTTTAGATCGCACAACAATTGCAATGTTCAATGACCACGACGTACGATGAACTTTTACGCAGATAATCGTACGGGTGAATCCGGTGGAAGTTTAGTTTACATTTTATCTTTTCGTAGGCTTTGATTAATTCGTTCAGCTATCAGGTTTTCATCTACGAGTTGTTCAGAAGTGTCTTCGATAATACAGTTATCCACCAGGTGGGCTCTCAAGGCTGGCATCGGAATGACTTTCAATGCTCTATTAAGCGGCAAGTGAAGTGGTTTCTCGTGCTCCTTGATATCGCAAAGTATTCAATTCAACAGCTGAGCATGACACTTCTGTAAGCGCAGCTATGGATCGCTTCCATGGATCGCCTCCAACCTTTCTATATCACTGACCTTTACGGTTGTTATTTTGCGATGAGTCAAGGGCAAGTCATCTAGATGAGTTCCATATCATCGACGATATCGTTACCATCCTCAAAAGGGGTATCACGCACTTCAGCGATTTCCTGTTCCAACAGCTCATATATTATGGATGCCATTCAGCAGAATTAAACATAAGACCTGCTCCGTTTTTGATTTTCGTGGTGATTATTCCCAGAATGATGCAAGATGTTTTCAACTCTCATGTTTTTGAATTCATTTTAATACATGCAATACCTCTACCAAAGCATTGAATGTAAGCTTGAGGTGCATGGTAAGCTTTCTTAGAATCACCGATTTCTGAATTTGGGACTCCTACCCCTCGATTTTCGCGAGATCAGCAGTCAACTAGACTCCTCCAACCAATCAGCATTTGGAAGTAAAAGGAAAAATGCAAGTCAACAAAAGGACCGTGGACCAGCTCATCTGAAATCGTTTTGGTGAATAACTGACTCTGAATGACCCCCTCCTCTTCGCTCATATTTTATCATATAGCTGCCGTAATCTACAAACTGAAATATAAATCAAGTCTCCAAGTAACTTCCCACAATTTTCCCTCTAAGTCCGCCAAAAGACCATGGGCTTACTCCAGGCTCTACGTTCTTGAGATATGAAGTCTACCCCACTATTCTTACATTCAGACATACTATGCACCAACACGAGTCGATCTTGTCCTTTCACGGGTACCGTAAGGTTAATCCGCATTATCCTAAAGTCTTACATCTTCGAATCATATCTGCTTACTTTATTGCAATGTTTAAAAGGAAGCGAGAGCCGGTTTAGCTTGGATAATTTTCATTGAACTCATATTTTCCTCAAAATGCATTTCATCCGATGCCAATGTCTTGTATTTTTCTTTTCCTCCTCAGTACTAACGATCTTCGCAAAAGCAACAGAACAATCTGTTCAAAGCTTAATCAATCTCTTGGAACGAAGACTACCTGCTCATGTTAATGACTTTGAGTTTCGAATAAAAGGTAATCATACGTTCGGAGAAACGAATGATGAATATGTCGTATCTCAAACTGTTGCAGGAAAGATCTTGATTGAAGGTAATTCACTGAGTGGTATTGCTGCTGGGTACGTGATCCATATCGGATTTATATTTGACATCCTAATTAAGAAGATAGTTTACATAAATGCTTTACAGAAATTTTGCATGTAGATATCTGGTGGTATATTGGTTCTCAACTTCATCTTGCTCCTGAAAGTTTACCAAGTCTGAATTCGACGTTGAAAGGATCAAGTATTGTACCATGGCGTTATCATTTCAATACCGGTAGGTGCAATGATTTCCTTCCAAGCTACTTTCATCTGATGAGTATGCTACATGATGAAAATATCTTAACAAACAATTCCTAGTCACTTTCTCATATCAAGCCGCTTTTTGGACCTGGGAAGATTGGAAACTTCAATTATATTGGATGTCTCTTCATGGTATCAATCTCTCTCTCGCCTGGGTCGGTTATGAGAAGACATTACTTACCACACTCCTCACAATTGACCTCACTACTGATGAGATACTTTCATTTTTCTCCGGTCCTGCCTTCCAAGCTTGGAATCGATTTGGTAATATACAAAGATTTTGGGGTGGTGCCATTCCACTTGCTTGGATTGAAGATCAACATCTCCTTCAAAAGAAAATTGTACGAAGAATGGTAGAATTAGGTATTACGCCTGCATTACCTGCTTTCACTGGTTTCGTACCAAGAGAATTGAGAAGGGTAGCTCCTAATGCAAACATCATCAATGGAAGTGATTGGGGAAATCTTTTCCCAGTCGAATATTCAAATGATACTTTTCTTTACCCAACCGACCCTCTCTTCAAGACTTTACAGCATACATTTCTCAATGTTCAATCCGAATATTATGGAAATGTTTCTCATATCTACACACTCGACCAATTTAACGAAAATATTCCCGCATCTGGAGATCTCTCATATCTAAGCAACATATCACGTGGAACTTACGAATCTCTTCAATCCTTCGATCCAAATGCTATTTGGATGCTACAAGGGTGGCTTTTCTACGCCGCTTCATCATTCTGGACACAAGACAGAGTCGAAGCTTATCTTTGCGGTGTTCTAAAGAGTGAGAGCATGTTAATAATTGATCTCTTTTCTGAATCATTCCCGGAATGGGAAAATACTAATCAATATTATGGAAAACCATGGATTTGGTGTCAAGTACATGGTTATGGTGGTACTACTGGTATATATGGTCAGATATATAATGTTACAAAGTCTTTGATTGAAGCATTCCGAAAATCGAATAAGATGATTGGAATGGGAAATACGATGGAAGGACAAGATGGTAATGGATTGATGTATGAATTACTTTTGTATCAAGCTTGGCATTCTAACCCTATTGATACCAAGGATTACTTCGAAGCTTGGGTAGCAAAACGATATCATATTCCTGGATTTAAGGAATTACCATCAGAAATACACTCAGCATGGGAGATTCTCCGCACAACAGCTTACAACAACACAAATCTAACTCTTGCAGATAGTCTCCCAAAATCCCTATTCGACATGCGACCCAATATTACCGAAAACCATGGAAGATTAGGCCAATCCTTGACAATCGATTTGTATGATCCTGCTGATTTGTTTCGAGCATGGAGCTTATTGTTTAATGCATCGGTGTTGGTTCCAGAACTTTGGGATGATGATGGATGGAATTATGATATTGTGGATATTACAAGACAAGTACTTGCGGAGACCTTTAAATTAAAATACGTGGACCTGATCGAGAGATATACAGCGGGGATTGATTTTGAAGAGACGAGTAAGACTCTGATTGGGAAAAGGTAATGGAAGGGATCTAAGAGAATTAATTGAGAAGTTAATGGAGGAACTCAATCTCAAGAGTAGCTTGAATTAATCAGGATTTCCGTAGATCCTCAAGCCATCGGAATACAATGTGATCTTTCCAATACTATATGACACTTCTTAGGATTTTCTCAATGACTACATCATGATTGGATTGTCCTTCCAATTTCAAAGGTGAAGGACGAAACCTAAATTCCCGAAACTTCCGCTGTCTATCATACATTATGACTAAGTCCTTACCTCGGTAATCTTTTCCCCAGTGGTTCATTCACTAAAAACACGTCATAATTTAGTGTTGGATCTAGTCAATGTAGTACAACTACTTAGTGAATGTAGTACTACTAGGACATGTAGATCCCCCGCATAATATTTAATAAATTCGGTCTCTTCCCACCTACAACTTCTTTTGCATACCTATTTCATTATCAACCCACGAAGCTCAGGACCCCAATTTCAAAACCATCTAACATCGCAAGACAAACGATTACATCCTATTTGTGAATCATCTTTCTCACAACACATCTTATTATATTTTCCATCCACGTTTTATCTCAAAAATCATCTATCCGGTTTGCCATCGATCCGACCAAAGCGGTCAAAGTCGGTCGAAATAACAGCACGGCAGCGTAGGAACAGTAGTAGCGGAAAGGAAAAACTTCCCCAACGGTACTCGATCTGACTTCGCATCTCAGATTCTTGTAGTTTCCTTTGAGACGTCTAGCTTAGACCATTCAAAGTGACTATTACCTTTTTTGACAGTAGGATAACACTCCCTGAATCTTGAAATAGATATAATACTTACACATCTTCAAGGCAGATAACTTGACAAGAATTACATTGACACCATGTCGAATAAGAGACGTTCATCAATGCCGGCGGCTGAAACCCTCGTGGAAGAAAAGGCGAATAAGAGACGACGAACCTCAATTCCGACGATCACATCCCCAGTCAAAGCCGTCGAGAGTATGGAAGAGATGGAGAACAAAGAGAAAACACAAATAGCTTCACTTCCATCCCAGAATTTGCCCAATATGGAGATCGACTGCCAATTATCAAAGTTTCCACAAGAAATTCTCCGTATGATTTGCTCTCACGTTGGCTCACACGAACTTTCCAACCTTAGGTTTGTTTCGCGGGACTTCTCCAGCGCAGCAGCGACCCATATGTTCAAAGAACTATCATTTAAATTCGAAGCTTCATCATTTCAAAATTTATTGCATATCGCCCGCAGTCCTCAACTTCGACGCCACGTTTTAAAGCTCACATGTAAGGGTCAATTTACAATGGGTGCTTACATAGAAGATTATTGGAGTCTACCACATGTTGAGTATCACTTCTTTCATCAACGTGAGCTGGCAGAGGTTTTGAAGAGGCTGCCAAGTCTCAATACTATTCGAATTGATACGAACCACTGTGATGCGCCAGATGAATATTCCATTATTACGAACGGATCGTTTGATACGTTTTGGAACTTTCTAAAATCAGCACTTGTTAATGTATCCAATTTGAGAGCAATAGAATTGTATTCACTCAAATTTGAACCTAATATCTACAAACTCAACCGATGTCCTACAGCATTTTCTAAGAGGGAGATGGAAAAACTCGAAATTTTAAAGGATTTCCACCTGTCGGTCAACCATTCCATCATTGATCAAGTTCCCGCGCTTCTTAATTGCATGCAAAACCTCAGGTCACTGTCTTTGGAAGAAGCGTCAAATACTGAACAGGGACATTGGGATGGCATGCGAGATATTTCCGAATTTATCAACCCAAGTACAGTATTTCCGTCATTGGAATCCCTCGCACTCAAATCTTTTCTTTTGAATCAGCAGTATTTCCAAGAGTTTTTACTCAATAACGCCAATTCTTTGCGCTCACTCAAGCTTGAGAATGTGAGTATCGAAAGTACAAAGGAAGAGTTCGATTCCAAGGAACATCTCAAGAGTAATCCATGGATTCGAATGTTCTACTTCTTTGCTCAATCGTTACATCTAGAGAAAATTGAACTGTTTGGGGAACTGCGTACATCATGTTCAGGACTTTGGAGTTCAGCGTGTTTGTGTCGACATAATTGCGATTCCTGTCGTTCATCGGCTTTGATGTTGAGCCTTCAAAATTTCATTACACATGTTGAAGGCTCATCATTTCCTTTACCACATCCAGATGAGGACCTTAGGCATGTGGATATAAAAAGGTACTACCTTTGGACCAAGGATGATGTTTACGAGGGCGCAACGGATCCTGGATTTTATTTGCTACCCCAACTGGCTAGGAGAGGGGAAATTCGATTATTGGAAAGAGAACCATTCAAAACTTCTACCTTCAAGTCATACATGCCATGGACAGAACCAGAGTCAAATTCAGATTCAGATTCAGATGATGGTAGGGAGGCGGAAGAAGAAGAGGCAGAGGGGGAGTGGGAAGATGGGGAAGAGGGTAAGGAGGGGGTATGGGAGGAGGAGGAGGAGGAGGGGGAGGAGGAGGGGGAGGGAGAGGGAGAGGAAGAAATTCCGAACAGACCAGATGGCAACTCTCCAAGACACTCCGCATTCCATTACACTATGACTCAAATCCGAGCCAACAGAAATCTATGGAACGATGAGGAGAGAAATTTCATAATGAATACCTTACTCGAGGGATTTATGGAAGACGATGAATGATTAGTGGGTGCTGCTATGGGCCTCGATTCAAAACCCACTGAAGGTCTGGAATGCAATCTCCACAGGAGAATCCCAGATTTGTTTCTACGCAATCATGTAAGAATGTCCTGATTCTCCAAACAGAGAAAAGAGAGATTTTCAATGTTATAGGAGCCGATGACTCTTGCTCCCCCACGAAAGCCCTCAATAGTTTATTTTACTTTGATTAATTTCATTTTTGTAGTTATTGTCATCTTCAGTGTCCAGGATATATCCATCAATGGAAGGGAAAAATTCTGGTTGGATTTGTTATTTTGGATGGATGAGGGAAATATGCGTGCAAATGGAGAGCAACATCATTGAATATTTCTGCATTTTACCGAAACTTTTCATATTGTACAAGATAGTCGAAAGCTGCGGGTGTTGGGCATATGGATCATCATGAATATCTTCTAAGAAGATTAGATTGAGCAAAGCATAGCGAATCAAATCAATGGGATATCATGTTTCACTAAAATCTCTTCCGATGTCCTCTGCATGTATCATGTCTGGATTCCATGCCTATCATTTGATGTGTAGAAATATTTTGCCGTGGTAACTGGCTACTCGCGACGAGGTGAACATGCAACATATACGGCATATATTTTGGATGTAACTCTCGAGCGCAACTTTGAACGCAGCTAGATACGGTATACTATAGACAATTTATGGTTGGCTTCTGCGAGTAGAGAGACTTTACTAATCATAGATGTTTCAATTTGCCTTTGTGCCCACACGAGAGGACAAAATACGGTCATCTCTTAGTGTTAACAGTAGATCGAGCATTGTCATTATCTATAGATAGAGAGCTATATTAGTGTACGCTAGTCCACGCTAGCTGATGGTAATCATTATTACGGTACCTAACGAGCGCTTTCAACAATAATACGGTATGAATTTCACAATTTTCTTTCTATCTTGACGTACTAAGTCTGGCTTATACATTCAGCTGTGTTGTATGATGAGGACCGTAACATCTGCTCATAGATATATGGTCCATTCTCCCCCCAGTTCTGACCTACTTTCTTCTCATTCTCACAAATATTCGTAGGGAAAACATTCAATCTACGAAAGAAATCCTATTCAGCCAGTCAAAATCGTCTATCATCATCCTAACGATAAAATTGGCATCGATCTACCATTCCTCGACCATTCATAATCAGAAGACATGGTTCAATCTACCTATGATACTCTGTTCAGCAAGGACATGACCTCTACAGGACAAGTCTCATCTGCCCCAGCTGTCACAAAGAGCAAGATCTTTGATTGGCAAAATAACTCTCCACTCAAGTAAGTATTCTTCTATCCTTGACCATATTCCGGATTATGCTAACCAACTTTATTAGACTCGGAAAGCAAATGATCACAATCACTGCCGGCGCTCATCAACAAAAGTTCCTAGTTCATGCCGACCTTATTACTCTTCAACCTCGTATCTTCCGTCGTCTTCGAATCTCTAGATCGGTTGATTCAGGTATATCATCAGGGTGGTTTGATGTTTATCAACCCGTTTCGTGCTCCGTATTTGTCCGCCTTCTTCAATTTGCCTATCATGGAAAATTGTTTCCTGGGATCTCCCTCGATACATTATGGCACCTATACCTCTTCGCCAACAAGAACAAAGCCCTAGATCTTGAGGATATTATCATGAATCGAATTATGGCTACGTATCGACCCGATAAGCAGGTCTTCCCAGAACCAAGACATATTGAACTTGGGTATAAATATATGAAGGAGAATTCTGCCGGGAGAAAGTTTCTTGCTTTGTGTTATGCTGCTATGATGCATGTTAATACAAAGCTACCCTCAACTTCTACCTATAATAAGGAAGCTCTAGTAGGATTAGGGAAGAAGTGCGATGGTCTCTTGATCGATGTCGCTAATCTCACGAATGGCAAGGGGTCTATCAATATCTCAGAGTGGGATCCCAGATATGCTCCTGAATGCTTGTATCATCATCATGCATGGGGAGTAGAATGTCAGAATCTCAGTTGAAAGGATTGAAGTAAAAGGGGAGGATTGGGTTGGCTCAATTGATTGAAATTCTCTACAAACATTGACAAGATCAATTTGAGAAAAAACAAGAGTCAAGGGATCATGGTCTTGTAAAATCACAAATAGAACAAATTTGAGCAGAATCTCGCTTTCATTGCAAGCTGATATAGCATACTCTTTTTAAGTGAGCAGCGCTGTCGAGCCATTGTTTATGAGCCCATATGTGAACCTCATGTTAAATCAAGGAAAATCTCCAAGCCAACGGAAAAAGAAACCCTGGAACAGTGTAGGCAATAGTATTTCCCATAATCCGTATACGAGTTAGTTTAATGGTATATATCAATTTTTTTCGAAATATATACATATATAATATAGAATTCAATACCATTGAAAGTATTCAATATTATTTACTTATTCAATACTATTAGTAATATACTAAAATACTGGAATTTATTATAAAGTATTCATTTCTATGTATATTAAACTATAAAATAACGATTTTATACAATTTTAATTAAGAGATAAATATTCTATAACCTAATATAAATAGGAATGAATATTTTAAAATGAATTCCAGTATTTTAGTATATTACTAATATCCTTTAAGTATATAAATATATATAAAAGTGGTATAACCCCCTTTCCAAACACACTAGCTGCAATATCAATATAATAATACACGCCACAGTTTCATTGTAGCATACTAATGCCTACACTGCCCTGGAAAATGCTAACGTGTCAAAAAATTAGATTATGATCGATCTTACCGCTTCCATAGAACAAGTGAAATATCATATGTGCATCATACATATCCCCATGAAGGAATGGTGTCCATTCCATCACCATTCATACCATGATGTCTTCTCCCCCACTAGTCTTTTAGTAATGATCAACCTAATCATGATACTAAAATTGAAAACTTACCATGTCATCTTCCACCATAATCATCGAATCATTTTCTATAATTCTTCTCTGACTTGTTCTTGCCCTTCTTACGCTTCTCTTTCTCCTTTTTCTTCTTCTTCTCGGCAGAACCTCTTCTGACAACATTGCCATTCTCATCTTCTAAGTCTGGCATGGCATCCTCCTCACTCTCACTCCCCAAGGCTAGCATGAAATTATCATCGCTATCAGAATTAGGTGCATCTTTCAATGCCAATGCTTCCACGGGAGAGAGTCCAAGTGCCAACTTCCCCAACTTGGACATAGACTTATCAGCACATTCTCGTTCAGGTCCAGCCAATGGTGAACATCTACGCAATTGAAAAATCACCAAAGCGCTCTTCCAATCGTCTGGCGCAGACTTTCCGATCTGCTCTTTGAGCTCATCGCGATGATCTCCAACCTTTGCCTTGATGATTACTTCAATAGCCACCAAGAACCTGAAGTATTCTTCGAATTGCTCCTTGGTTGTGCCGGAAAGGACGGGATATTTCTCAATCACTCTAGTGGGACCATAAAAGCGACGCTTAGAAACACGAGTCATCGGAATTGTTATTAACGTGCTTCATATTGACTATTCCTATCTGACAAATTCCATCTTCGTTCTCCTTGACCCACTTTTCATCCATATTTTCGAGAGCGCTAAGCTGGTCTGACAATTGCATTACCCATCGAACGTTGCAGTGATTCTCGATTTAGTTCGAATTGGTGCAACTCGGCTTGGACGTTATGCTTGGTTGAATTGAGAACACTTTCGCAGAATGCCAGTGATGCGAATTGTTCCCGAAGAAGATTACCCGTGGCTATAGATAGTTAGTCGATTATTGAGTAATTAGAATCGATATAACTTACTGTTTCGTCTAGTCGAAATATCGAGGCAATTGAAGTTTAATTGAACAGAGTTGTAAATAGTTTGGGATAGATGGCTTCTGGTTGGAGGTAATCGCGTTGTTCAGGTGACCTAGTGTGGAGTTTCTTCCTCGACAACCACAAGTCAAGTTTGACGACATAACCGATATCCCTACATCTTACACAACCCTATATCTTGCACAATTTGATTTATTAAACTAAAAATCGATTTTAAATTTATACAATAAGATCTTAAATTTATTAGAAAATAATATCAGAAACTTGAAAGATTTGAAATATTTAATTAAATATTAATTGATTTTGAATAACAATATTTTAAAATATTAATAATAAAATAAAAACCTATATTAAAATGAATTTATATAATTGAAAAATGTTTTTTGGTATTTTTTATTATTATTATTATTAATCAAAAGTTTGAAATTTCGAAAAACATTAATAATCAAATTTTATGTCAAGTTTGAAGTTTTTGAATAGTTTTAAAAAAAAAAGAAAAATAATTTAAAAATACCTTTTAAAATATTATAAAATATTTATTTCGAGATTTTAAAAAAATAAAATTGATGTTTTAATTTAATCTATAAAAATATATTTGTATATATTAAAAAATATATAATATAATAATAAGAAATAATATTAAAATAATATATTATTTAAAAATTATAATTAATTATATTATAGAATAATATAAATAAATAAAAATGATAATTAAAATAATTGATTTTTATATTTCAATTAAAAGATTTATTATATATTTTTTTTCAATTCAAAATCTTGTAGTTTCTTTTTTAAAAGAATTTTATTTCTAGAAAAAATCTTTAAATTTTATAATATTTCTAAGAATTTTATAGTTTATATTCAATTTCAAATTCATTTTATAATATTTAATACTAGTTATTAGTTTTAATTTTAAATTCAATTCAAGATTTTTATTCAAAAATATTTGAATAAAAATACTCTATTATTGATTATATAATTTTAATTTTTAAATATTAATATTCTTAAAATAAATGATTATATATATAATTAAATAATAAAATATATTATTTTATTATTCAATTATCAATATTAATATATAAATAATATATTTTATAATTAAATTATATTTAGAATATTATTAATATTTGAGTTATAAAGGATTTTTGTTTTAAAATAAACTATTTATTAAAACTCTTATTATATATTAATATGATTTCGAATTTTTGATATAAAAATTAGTTTTTTTTGATTCTTTATATTAAAAGATCTTTAAATTTATAGAATATATTCTAAAATCAAACTTTTATTATTTTTATTATTAAATAAATTAATATATAATAATTTTATAATAATAGTTTTAATATTGAGATTCCTATTCAATTATCGATTATAATTATGATTTTATTATTTCATATAAAAGAGATAATATTATAGTATTCTTATTTTAATTTTCAATAGAATTCAATGATTGATTGATTATATATTATTTTTAGAATATTATTTTTAAAAGAAATAAAAGTGTGCAAGATGCAGGGTCGTGCAAGATGTAGGGATATCGGTTACCAAACCATGAAATCGTGAGAAGATACTACAGCCCATCAAAGCAAGCTTCACAGCGATGCAAACCACAGCAACAATGATCTCAGCCCTTTCAAATTCCCCATAACACTCATCTTGCATTTATTACTACTAAAACGAAAGTTCATTTGCTCGAATGACACACTACTCCATAGGTTACTGCCGGAACAACATCTCGGTGGATTTATTGCACTTGTTATCACCGTCTCCACAATTTATGCTTGCTGATAGGAAAACTATCAACAGCACCCTTCCATAGATCCCCACTAAAATAGATCCTATGGAAAAGATAATTCCGGAATTCAAACGCTTGCCGACGAGAAAAAAGCCTGAGAAATTGCCGAATCTCCTTAAATATATTACAGCCATCTTGAAACCTGTGAACCACCTTGGTATAAAGTTTGAGGAAAAATCAGGGAATCTGCGAAAAGGATATGGTAGTTTCTTCATTGAGTTAAAAGAGACGATAGACGATACGATGCTTGATTTTACACTCTGGAGTTGATGTATAGCGTGTCTGATGCTACGAAGACTGAGCTGGACAATTCTCTGACAAGCCTTTTGCAAAAGACGAATGTCAATCCCAAACGATACAAAGACCGAGCTGAGTGTGTCTCTCGAAGCGTTCACAAACAAGGTGCATGAGATACTCGAGAGTGCGAAGAATAAGCTGAACGAGTCTTTTCAATATATTACGAAGATTTTGGACAATATACCCGCAAAATCTCAAACTTTCACTCGAGCCCATTGGACAGAGGTATCGGCTATTCTTCGTAAGGAATTTACTGTCGCTAAGAATACAGATGAATTTCCCAATGCAATAAATAGGAAATTTGATAGCATTCTAAAGGGTCCTCGCAAGAAGTCTAAGAGATCGTTGCGAGAAATGAAGAAGGATATAGGGAAGTTTCCAGACACAGCGAATACGATTGTCAAGGAACCGTTGGATGATGGTTGAAATTGATTTAGAACGGCTGATCTAAAAGTAGAAGACCTGGGAAACTCCCAAAAGGAACATGATAAAGTCAAAAGAGATACCGGAGAATCCAAACCAGGTTTACGATCTCTGGTCACCAATACAATGTTGAAGTTTTGAAGGGATTCCGTTTGCATGTTCGAAATCGGGGCTTGGTGAACGTAATCACCCATCATATTCCTCCGTCTCCGTGTTTGTTATACAATCAAGATTTCCAGATGGGTGTTCTCCAGATGTTTTTTTCTATAGACAGAGTTCTTTGTCATAAATTCATTTGGTGGAGCAAACTTCAGCAGCAAGAAACCCCTTCAGCTCAAAAACTTCCATTGGCATTCAAACAATATTCGACGGAAATCCTTTTATTTCCATCCGAAGAATCTTTTTCTAGCATTCCTCCATTTTCATTCAAATAATCTCAGTCGCATACTTCTCATCTGCTGTCAGTCATTCTTCATTGGCGTGTTCAAAAGGTCATTTCATTTGCATTATAATTTTATTATATTATTGAAAGTTATCAATGAAATTCATCATCCTTTATGCTCGGCTTATCATTCGGTCTTCTACGAGCTGTCCTCAGGCCATTCGTAGTATCGCTCCTCTAATTATATTATTCCTTGTTGGTCAAGACGATTTCACGCATTCATGAAGAGTGCCGTTAAAACCAACGATATTCCGAAATTTTCTTCGAACGAATCTTGAAAAAGAAAAAAACCTTGGTACTCAAATGACGAATCACCTGAAATTTCGAAGTGATTAAGCTTTTTCGAATTCTGAGAAATCATTTACTGTGCTTGTAGATTTTTTGGTTTCGCTTTCATTTGCCGGTGCAGTCTTTCTAAGATTCAGAGGAGTTGATGGAGAAGTAAGTTCGATAGCTTTGAAACCATCAGATAACTTTGACTTCTTTAGTGTCTTTGGTGCAGCGTCCTCCGTAGCCTTTCTTTTTGATAGCATTTTTGGATCCGATGGTGTTGAAAAAATTGGTGGATTTCGCGCTGGCCCAGAAATGCTCTTATCAGGAGAATTCTGAGCAGATTGTGGAGGGTATGTTTTGTTCTTCAAACTCAAGCGTGTCTTGGCGGACTTGAGTGGCTGGGACGGCTCTTCCTCTGGTTGCTCTTTCTCAAGTTGCTCTTGTTCTACCTCAGATTCTGGCTCTGAGACAGTGTCATATATCTTCGGACATGCTCGAATTGTCTCTAGTGCACGTCGTCTCTGGTTTTCTATATGCCTCTCTAGCACCAGATCTTCCTCTTTCCGGTATAGTTTTTCGAGATGGAGTCGTTTTTCACGATGACTCTGAATTTCTAGAGCTAAGTCTGTATAGGGTCTTTCTTCTGCCTCTGCTAACATTTGATTCTTCGAGATTGGTTTTACTGACCTATCCTCCTTGGACTTGCCACTCTTGTCTCTGTCAATTTTGTTGTCAGAAATACGGATAAGAGTCTCTGCCTCAACCTCGTCAATATCTTGCGCAAGTGTAAGGCGCCCTCCTTGTGAATCTGGATCGGAAAATGATTCGACGGGTTCATCGAGATCCTTGACCTCAGGATTCTGATTCGCTTCTGGGTCTTGCGCTACATCTGGACTTGTGCCTGGGTCGACATGTTGGTCTGTACGGGTGAGGGTGTTCGACTAGATGTAGGTCCAGTTGTAACAGTAGCAGCGACCGCAGGTGCGTCAGACACTAAATTTGTTGTCAGAAATGCATGCCCAGTTTTTTCTTCGGAATACAGGATTGGGCTTACCTTGCGTGGTGCTAAGATTCTTATTAATTGAAGGGGGGTTACCATTTTGAACTAGATCTCTGAAGTGTCATCGGAGCTCCATCAACTTGTCACCCAGCTGGTTCTTCCCGGGCGAATAGCAGATTCTCGTTTTCTCCGTTTCAGGTTTGGATAGTCCTGAGCCCCATACCAAATCTTCTCTGGCTTCTACAATCAACACATTCCCTGTGCGGATCAAAGCCTGGATCCATGAAGGCTTGTGTCGTAATTTGTAGTAGAGGGCATAAAACATCATTTCGCCGGAGATTTGGTTCCACTTCTCGACATCAATTTTTATTTTGTTCCCTTCTGTCTTGGCTTTCTGAGGAGTATATTTGATCATTTTGAGAAATTTAGCTTTGTCTTTCATCATATAAGCTTTCGCTGCTTGGAAGTAACTACAAGTTATACATTAGTCAGAACTCAAGAAGATCAGAACAAGAATGTTACGAACTTCTCAGCCGAGCGGTAAGTCACTCCTTCGTGATCAACAAATGGCTCATCGTAAAAATTCGAAAGCCATGCCCAACTGGCACCAGACTGATGACTGCTAAATAAGATTGCAGTGGCTGGAAGCTTCTCAGCACCTTTGGCATAGAAGATAGTATGCGATTCTGGACTTGGAACTATCTTGAGCTAATAAGATATCTAGTACTTGGTTATTATGGGACACAGAAAGAGTTGTGAAGGAGATGGAGGTAAGGAAGAAGAAGATACAAGAAGTTTTGAATATATTCAACCCGTGAGTGGGGCGACGACAAGGCTCAACGCGGTTGAAATCTCGTGATTCCATCAACGCTCCCTAATTAGGAAATTATTCACTTCTCATTCACTTTTTCCCTCAACAGATTTGACCTTTACCCCGCGCGAATCTACAACTATGAGTTTACCTTTTTCTTTTCCTCTCAGATTCCCCCCAAACTTCTTAACTTTTACAACAACAACAACAGAGACTTGAAACCCGACCGCTTTATGATGTAGGAGGACTCCGATTTTACCACTATGAGTGAGATGATGATAACAACAAGAAAACTCCTCGGAAGTCAAAGAAGCCTGCAGACACCGACTTTGATCCTTTGAAGCAGTAACACCACCAGCATACTCTTCAACCCAGCTCGAAAGAGAGATACAAGACGCGAAGCGAATAAATCCTGAGGGGGTGATGGTGATTGGAGTGAAACCAGAGACCATGGGTACCATTGCAGGGTATCTTCATTTCCAGACAACTGGTGTAGTGATAAAGTGGTTGGAGGACGAGGATAAGCTAAGAGGACTTCTTAACAATTGGTTAGAAGAAAAGAGAAAGGTGTTGCATGTCTGGTAAAACATGCTTCGGATTCAGGTGCAAAGGACTTCGGCGTAACAAAACTTTTTCAAATATTGAAGGATCTAACATCCGAGCATAGCGCATTGGTTACCGGGGATACTTTTCCGATTACCCACGCTATATTGGAAATGAATTTAAAGCGAAACGACCCAGGACACTACTGTTATCTTCACACAATTCACAAAATCATCAAGGCATACCCCAATCATTGTCCAAATGACGCACCTTTCTTTCCAAAGGAGATTCATTCAAGGGAGAATTGGCATCGAGGTCTACGGGCGTTCCGGATCCTACACAGGGAGGGTAAAATTAGGCAGAGGGGAGCCAGATCGACGCCAGCACTCAAGCTGCTCTGGTTGGATGACGAGACCTTGAAGTCAAGTAGAAGCATGGACGAGACTGCCGAATATGGGGTGTTTAAAGCGAGGGAGTCGGGAGAGGTCTTGGAACTTGAGAATCTGAGTGGTAGGGATGATGAAGATAATCCACTTGAAGAGACACAAGAGCAAAATATTGCGGAGATGGAGGCGCTTCATCGTTCTTTAAACAGCACTGGAGATATCGCAAAGGAAACGGTTTCCCGATGCAAGGATGCTAGGAAGACCCGGAAGGAAACTCCACCGGAAGAGATGAAGGCGTGAATGGAGATCCTCAGAGAGAAGCATGATAAGTACAAAGTTGTCTCGGCGCCAGTCAAGGGTCCATCGAAATCAGATCCTCAAAGAAACCCGCTGATGGTCAATGCCATTAACGTACAAGACATTTTGGATTCCTCTGGGGAATTTTCAACTGCTGAACGAGAGCAATTCGAACGAGATCAATTGTAGAAAGGGTCCAAGGAACAGAATGAAGAAAGAAAAGATTTCTTCAATGTCTTGGAGTCGATTTCGAGCGCTTCGGCTAAGCAGAAAAGCTTCGTTGAGTGTTGCGAGAAGTATGGATTCGACTACAGCGACCCCAAGAACATAAAAGTTCGTGGTGTACCATTCAAGCCCTACCCACATCAGGTGATTGGGGTCGTCTATATCGACTGGGACAGAAGAAGGTACAAGAGACAATCATACTTTTCTTAGAAAATAGCTTTGACGGGTGGGCTCGTAATAAAATGTCGGAGAAGTTTGTGAACAAACTTGTTGCTGAGGGAGAGTTTGATGGTGCTGATTCCAAGGAGATTCAGGAGGAAGCCAGACGTATTTTAGCTAAGCTTTTAGGTGAAGATTATGTTTCTGGTGTTTCTGATGATCTTTATGCTTCTAGTGAGAAGAAAGCTTTTGAGGATGGGCAGAATGGAGGATTATTTGATTTGAAAAGTTTTAATGCGATTAAGTTGAGATGAGCAATAGAATAGATGAAGGGAGAGATACATGAAATCAAAGCATAAATATGATGCGTGGGGCGGCTTAATCGAGAGTGGCTTAGTATTCGAAACAACGTTCAACTTTGAATATGATCTTGCCTGGTACTTGCTAAAACTTTCGCTGTATTTTAAAAGCTAGTTCGATACTAAACTAGGTACATACTTTGAATAAGAATGAAGCAATTTCTTACCGTGGCTGAAAACCCATCGTCAATGATGCTCTCTTCCCTCATCCTTTCTCCCCCTCCCTGCCAACGGAGCGCGGCGAGCCTAGAATTTAAACTATATAAACTACCTTAGATAAATTCATCCAAGTAAAAAAGGTAGAATGACCGAAAATTGTTCCTTGAATCCATCGCGGTGTGGAGAATCAGTAAAGTCAACGTTAATGCTATTAATCCACCTATTGAACAAAACAGAAAATTTTGAAATATATTCTGAGAAATCTTAGGGTGCAGAATAATGATCCTTAATCTTCTATATCTTTATGATACCATTGCATCAATGTAACCTACTGTCTTCGTGGAAGTCTCGTTAAGCTAACATTTTCTTCCTTGGGGGTAAGAGTACGTTTCTTATGAGAAGGACGATCATTGGATGAAAATATATATTCTACCAATGTCCTAGACTTTCAAGAAGCCTAGACATACGTAGCTCCCTACGATTATGGTCCCTTTCTATATTTTGAAAGCTTACAAGGGATTTGAGTAATAGACCAAGGACATCGAACTTCAGAGTCTCACGATACATTAAATAGCTAACTGTATCAAAAGTAGCCCAGAAGAGCTGCGATACATATGGGACCCTCAGAGCCTACTTCTATTTGTTGTAATCATCTCCGTTGGAAATCTTGGTATTTAAAGAAATGAAATTTTGTGTTTTTGCGAAACCAGATTTCGTTGCAAGGTTGGGTATGACCTTTTGAAGCAGTTTTACATGGTCTTTGAGTTCTGTTAGCTGTCTAAAAGTGTTTTTTTTAATGCTTGCAAGCTCCTTCACTGTTTCATTTTCCGAATCCCAAAGTTTATCTTATCTTTGGCTCCTGACCGATTTCTACTTCTGATTTACAAAGAAAATTCCACGGATATCACTACTTACCTGTCGAAGGCCTCTCAAAATTCTCAGATTGGATCTTTTTCAGATGGCGAGTATGAAAGGCACCCACTTCACAGTCACACGTCGGTGGATGACTTTAGAGTAATAATGAACAGTTACATTCGACTCTGCAGTATAATGGACCTTCCACATGTATCTTTTCTCACCATTCAGACACTTTAGAAAATTCTCGATTTGGAAGATTTTCAGTCAAATAAAGATGAGCACTCAAGTGATGATTGCGCGACAGCAAGTAGTTTGAGAACAATAATAAATGACTCACCCCAGCTTTTGATTACTCGAGACCTCTCATATGTGTTGCTATGAGCCTCTCGATAGCTTTTCAAAAATCCCATGTTGAACACTTCTCACTTTGAGAGGATGGGGTAAACACTTAAAGATTTAAAGATAACGGCTGGAGTCACAAAGATGATACTTAGTTTATCACGGTCTTCTAGTATATAGTATGCTCTGAGATATCCTGGACGCACAATTTAATGCTTTTTGAAGAATATGAATAAGCTCAGTCCGACGTTCACGCACAGTACATCCACTACGTTTTTGTTGAATTCGTGAAGGAGACGATAGCTTTACAGTCAAAAGCTATATTGTTGCAATCTCTGAAAGATATGAATGCTCAAAGGTATAGTTGTGACGCTATCCGACCGATTTAAAGAACTTTCGGATTTTGCGAGAAATTATTCCCGGTCCGTAGGAGACGTTTCGAACTTGATCATTTTTCCACGACGAGTAACGATATAACAATAGAGAGTGGCTATATCTAGTTATTGAGATTCAAGAACCCTCAGAGTAAGTTGCTTATATTGCTCAACTCCATCTGGAGAAAAATGATTTCCGGCAAATTTGATTTTGAAGTAGAATTTGAGCACCCACATGACTGTTTCTCGATGACGACCAAGAATGAAGCTACAAGAGTATGTCACTAACAGTTAGAGTAGCTTGAGTACCCTTGGTGAAGTGTCGCTTTTGTGGTTCGATAGATTTCCCGAATTTTGTCCTTGGGGATGCTTCAATTCTGCTACTTGATCGAGCACTTACTTGCCTATTTCTCGATGACGACGAAGAATAAATAGATATCATAGGCATCTCTGGAGTCGTCTTTTGAGTCAAATGAAATCAAGTCTGTCTCGGGTTCTTGAGGTTCCGCCCTGGTGGAATGGTTTTCATTGTGTTGAGATTCGTTTTGGTGGCATACCCACGGAAATTAACAAGTCACAGTCTCAACATTACAACGAGAAAAGTAAATTTGTTCTTTGAGAATCTTATTACTCTATCAATAGAGACCTAAGATGATACGCCCTATCATTCGGTATTGTATTCTGTCTAAAGACAAGATTTAGATATTGTGAAAATCCATAATTAGTCTACTAGATTAATTATTAATATCTTAATAATTGAGAGATATCTTACTGACTAATATATATATATAATATGATTTTATATTATAAAATTATATTATTATATAATTATATAATAGTAATGTGTTTTATCAGTGTACAGGTTATATCAATATATGAGTTACTTATTTTATATACAAAATTCGTTTGTGTGTAATTGTATATTTTCTTTATTTATAAATATGATTTTCTGAAAACTTGATACAAAATATTTGAATATATAAAAATTTTAAAAATCTAATTAATTTTAGGAAATTCGAATTTATATAGTTGTTATTATAAAAATAGTTTTTTTGTAATGAAAATCGTAATAACTTCCTTTTTCTTTTAAAAAACGATGAAATTATTTTATAAAAATTAAATCAATAAAAAACCTAGATTTTAATTTTTTTTTAAAATCTTTTATCCAAGAAAACAATGATTAGTTATTAAAATATTAATATTTTAAAACGCTTGATTTAGATGGTTTTCGAAATAACCCACACACTAATATAACCCGTACACTGATAAAACACATTATCTCTTATCAAATTGATTTATAATAAACGGTAATAACCCCATATAGCATTATTTCATATATTAATATCTTAAATATCAGGAATATAATCAAAATAACCTTAATTAGTATTTTTGATATTTCAATCTCAACTTTTTTTAGTAATATTGCTATCCTAATCTCAATTTGATTTGAATAAAAAATTGATATTCTAATCTCAAAAATCATATATTATTCTAATTCCAAAAATTATATTCTGATTATAATAGAATAAAAAATAATAAAAATAAAAAATAAAAAATAAAGTAAAATTTATTTAAGATATAAAAGCTTTAAAATTCAATTTAAAATTAGAATTTGATTTCCTAATCTAATTAATTATAATTTAAATAGAAAATTCAAATTTTATATTATATTTAAATTAATATTATTTTTAAATTTAAGACTAGAATATTGATATTTTTTATAAATTTAAATTAAACTAACATTTTTTAAATTGAAATTAAAATATTAATATTCTTATAAATTTAAATCAAATTAATACTTTTCAAATTGAGATTAGAATAGTAATATTTTGAAAATCAAAATAATCTGAAATAGTATATACTAAATCCCAATTAGTACTTTTGATATTTGAGGTATTAATACATAGAATGATGCTATATGGGGTTATTACTGTATAATAAAATAGAATGAAATGGAAACATAAAGAGAATTATTATTAAATTAATTAAATTTGATTAATTATACTTTCTTTTTATTATATAAAATGATTCCATAAGATTCAATTTAAATCGATCTTATTTATAAGCATAGAAAATACTACAATTTCATTATAAACTATATAAACCTAGGATATTCTTTAAAGAAAACCTAAATAAAAAAATATAAGCAATTTCATCTCAAATAAGCCTAACTCTTATAAATTGACTTCAATTCACTCTTATATATATTCGATTCGTCCCTAAAGCCTAAACTGACTAGATCTTCCCCTATTATTATAATAATAATTATTCTTACTATCATAAAATCTTACCTCCAAGAGCTATCTACCGGAAGGTGCAATCCTTATGTCCTTTGAGTCCAGTCCTCTCGTTCAGTATATCATAATAGTCTAATTACTCAAGCTTATTGACTCATGTTCGTACAAGAATATCTATAAGAGTGTCTCCCTATATGTCAATTGCTGTAATCATGCATCTTTCATCTTGCAACGAGCTATGATTGTTTGATCTAGTGACTTCAATATGTTCCGACCCTTTGCATCCAAATTGAGCGCTCCACATGCTGTCTGCAATGGGAAACGTGTAGAGGAAATACCATAAAGCATGAATTCATCTTGAAGAATATATTCCATGCTCTGGTAAATTTGAACACTCAATTCGAGACAAATTTCTCGGACTCCCTTTGCGTCATATGTCGCGTTGTCAATTAACCGCTCCAATTCCGGGTACATTTCAAAAATACAATGAATATTTAGTAAGCAGATAAGTTGAAAAGCCCAAAGGTAGACAAAAACATTGGCGGTACTCAAATCTTGGAACCACCACAGATCAAGTTTACGTTCATCCTCTACTTCAATACTTCGTCGCCAATAAAGTAGCCTTGATGAAGTTTTCAGACACGAACAGCACCAGGCTTCAAGACGAGCTTTTGCGTTGACTAGCTCTGTAATTTGATCTTGCGCGATTTCTATAGTGGCGGTATAGGGATTGTGCATTGTCACATCGACGCTCTCTAGAATCCCCGGAATACACGCAGCCACACGTAGAAGACTTTGTAATTGTGAAGCATGATAATTCTGGAAAGGCGTATGGACCCAAGAGTTCTCTGCCAAAAATGTTGCCTTACGAAGAATGAAAGCTTGGAGTATCTGGAGCGTAGATCCGTCAGTCAGAGAAACATAGAGCCATATTATGCAAACTTACTAATAGCGGTCTGAAGCCTATGAAGAGAGTGTGTTCAACACCAGACGCAAAAATATCAGGAGGTGAGAGTTGAAACATTCTACTAACTCCTTCCACATGTATCAGCCAGCTGGATTGATGCATTGGTGAGAGGACCTATTTTTGATTCTCAAACGTCAGTACCTCTTTCAATATTCATCTACGCTTCCTAAATGAAGAAGCCTTGAAATGGTGTGTCCGCAAGCTTGTGAAACCTACCTCTACGAGGGCTAAACACATAAACGATGCTACGAGTTCGTTTCGATAGGCACCTTTGGATACTGCCAAATTCTGCGCCAAAAGATGGAGACTTTTTTCATACTGAATAGAAATGAAGTTGACCATATTTGTGATACTTCGATAAGCAGTGATAGACAGAGCTAAAGCACTTGACGCTGATTGAAGACATTCAGCAAGGGGACCAATTGTATCGATAGACAGCTCAGGTAAGGCTGTGACCCATGAGCCACATACCCGAGGAGATTGTGCAAGTGATGTGGGAGTCTCAAAACCAGTCCCATCCAAAGGAACGAAATCACGTAAGATTATGAAGATAATTTCTTGTGTGGTATCAAGACCCGTTAGACGTTGATGGGACATCGACGATGAGTCCTTGCTCGATCCAATCATTTCGTGGGAGGCATTCGGTACTTCCTCACAATTTGATGTACTTAAGACAGAGTCAGTAGGAGTCGGTGTGGATGCTAGTCCCGACTGCAATGTCGGGGATTTATATGAAGTTTCTTCCTCTCTTCCAGATCTAGTCGCTTTGAACGGTACGAACAGGGCCTCGGGATATCCTCCACATTTTCTCTTGCTATGCAGACATTGTGAGCATGCTGGAAACTTGCCATCACACTATAAGACGCATAAAGTAGTAAGAGACTGTCTCAATCAGGTGAAATATATTAGACTACTAAGGTGGTGCGGGCTGACCTGAAGTTTACGCTTCCGACAAGTGTGGCACAAATTCTTCTTCTGGACCTTCATAACTGACGTGATTGCAATTTAAAGCCTCAGAGCTGATAGCTTAACATCTAGATAAAGCCGAATTGAAAGTTTCTGATTACAAAAGTTGCAATTGAAAGAATAATGTATTGCTAAAAGTAGAATCTTGAAGAGTCGTGTGTTTCAGTGGCGGCCAGTATCAAAACCCCGCATCACATGACAGTGACATCTCTCCAATCGGCACATTTATGGTGGGTCGGCTTTTGAAACTCTTTTGGGCTTAGTGATAATTATTAAAATCGGGGATGTACAGGGGGGTTTACAAGACTTCCTTACGCTGCGTAATTTACGGTGATGGCACGTATCTAAATATGAGACAAATTTTTCCTGGCTGATCAAGCAATTTCGAAGCATTACTCAGTGGAATAAGATAGAATTACCAAGCTTGGTTTCTGAGATACCTCAATGGACGATGCTATTTTATATAAATACCGTCCCTGTGGACCGTCGAATCTATGTATATTAAGAAGTCTCACATCGTTTGCTTCTCGCCAATCTTCTCACAATCCTCTATCATCCATACTTTGACCTTTGGCTCTTCAGTAACTTCCACAGTTATGTCTGCGTCCACATTTAAGAACAATGTCAGTATCACGCACATTGGGACTGCCACCGCTATTCTCAACATTGATGGCATTACCTTCCTCACCGATCCATTCTTCTCTCCTGCAGGTTCTGAATGGGGTATTGTACCTGGAGCACCCACACTCAAAGTTCATAAGGACCCTGCTCTGAAGATGGATCAACTTCCTCCAATTGACGCAGTCCTACTCAGTCACGAAAATCACCCTGACAACCTCGACGAGCTTGGCCGTCAACTTTTAGATGGCCGTCACGTTTTTACGACAAAAGATGGTGCAAAGAATCTCACTCCTCGTCCTGGCGTTCTTGGATTTGACGATTGGGAGGAGAAAGATGTAGTCATTGCTGGAACCACTTTTCACATTACAGCTACTCCTTGCAAGCACTGGCCTGGCCATGAGTGCGTCGGATTTGTTTTACACACTGATAACTTTGGCGTTGCACTTGACGGTCGACCTAATGCAATTTATTTCTCAGGGGATACCGTTTATATCGAAGAACTGGCCAAGATAGCCGATAAATATCACATCGCTGTCGCTATTTTGAATTGTGGTCAAGCAACTTTCGAAAATTTTGATGCCAAGGGTCAGCCAAGTCAGTCAGGTGAATCTCTTCAAATTACCATGGGTGGTCACCAAGCTGCTCACCTCTTCCGAGATATCAAAGCAGATGTTTTGGTCCCTATGCATTACGAGGCATGGGATCATTTCAAGCAACAAGCGGATGGACTTTCAGCCGAGTTCAGTGAGGAGGGAATTTTGTCGCGAGTTCTCTGGCTTCAACCCGGAAAAGCAGTGCCGATTGATTCTTGTATATAAATAAAGGAGCATTTACTTAAATGGAGACATTAGAGTTAGACATCGTACTCAAGATCGTAAACAAAATTGTTGTCAAGAAAACATATTCTTATACTGCTATCCTCATACTACTATGAGTAGCAAATTCGGCTATTGTGCTATAATGATGCGAGTTTATAAATCCTATGACAGAGCTCAGTGACAGAGCTCAGCGCAGTATATGCAATTAAATCATTCCAAAAGTCCCCTCAGCTGCACGTGAAAGACTTAGCAAATAGTAAAGTCTAATTCAAGTTGGGTCCGCCTCCAGGTTGGTAATTTTCATATAGCCAAAGAGTTCCACGAGGAGTACCAGGAGATTTTGAGTCCTAGCAGTTTCACCGCAATACATCGAAGTTGTCACAGAGATGATCACCTTAAATCTGATTTAAATGGCCACGAAAGTGCCGAGAATGTGTAATTCTGTTTACTCCGCTTCTTTGAGCACTTCGGTTGATCGAAAGATCAATTAACTGCCGAAGGTCCTGAAGTATGTGGGTCGTTACTCAAACACTAGACTATCAGTATCATTTGTTGGAGGATTCGGCTTTTGCCACCAAACCGGGAATAGCGCCAAATGTTTGTCATTCATAAACTTCATTCATGGGATGATTGTAATCTTCTCTAGTGCTTGATTTCAAATCCAAACGTACTCAGTATATATAGCGTCGCTTTCCGCAGTATCTTGACGTAGAAAATCTTGGATAATCAAAAGCAGTGACGAAACGAAACAAAACAAATCTGTTGTAAAGTCGAACAGTCACACCGATCGCCCCCTCCTCCATGTGTACAGAGACAACACAGTGTCAATAACGATAAAAACGGTCAGAGTTACAGGTTACCTTTATTGATCTTACTACCATGCCCGAAGACAGGGACCTGGAATCAAAAAATGCCTCAACTCTAGCTTTAGATGGCAATGTGGCAACGAAGACTGATAAAGCCACTGACGTCTCAGAAGAAGGGGGTTTGCAAGCTTGGTTAACAGGTGAGATAAATATTCCGTGAATAAATCTGGCTGAATAATATTCTAATTCTCTTTTAGTTTTTGCTCTATTTGTCGCCGTCATGAATACATGGTTCGTATTTCAATCTACGCAATTACTCAAAGGCTGATCAGTGTTGATAGGGGTATGATTATTTCATTCGGTGTTTTTCAAACCTACTATTTGTCAAGATTAAATCAATCACGCTCGGATATTGCATGGATTGGTTCGATAGCTGTGTTTTTCCTCTTCTTCATGGGAATCGTTGGTGGCCGTCTCACAGATGCAGGATATTACCGCATCACAACACTGACTGGTACGGCTCTGGTTGTGTTAGGAACTTTCATGACCTCTATATCCAATACTTATTGGCAAATCTTTCTAGCCCAGGGAGTTTGTACTGGTCTGGGTAATGGATTTCTTCTTACACCTATGTCGACGGTTGTCGCTAGTCACTTCAGGAAGAAGATTCCGCTCGTTATGGGAATAGCGGCTTGTGGGAGTGTAACTGAGGGTCTTATCTACCCTAGTATGGTGCGAACACTCCTGCCAAGAATAGGATTCGGATGGACTTTGAGAGCCATCGCTTTTATACAACTGGGGACTTTGGCAGCCGCACTAGTACTCGCAAAACCCAAATCAGTCTCCAAGAACACAGCTCCAATTATTGATTTGATGGTCTTCAAAGAACCCGCATTTGCTTTACTATTTGTTGGGTCATTTTTTGTCAGTGCAGGCTTTTCCTTTCTTTAGCTAAATGAAAAATGTACTGAAAGATTTACAGGCTTTTCTAGGCATCTTTTTCCCATTCTTCTTTTTAAGTTCTTATGCGAGGGAGAAGCAAGGAATGTCATATGAAGACTCCCTCAATCTTACGCTCATTTTGAACGGCATAGGATTTGCAGGTCGATTGCTACCCAGTGTACTTGCCAGGTTTTTTGGAACTTTGAATGTATTCATTGGAACGATATTTGCTTCTGCAATTTGTATGTTTACTTGGATACCAATTCATTCAACAACAGGGTTGTATGTATGGACTGCTTTCAATAGTATGGCTGTAGGAGGAGTTCAGTCACTTTCGTTAGCTGTAGTACCTGTTATCACTACAGACATGTCAAAAATTGGAGCACGATTGGGAATCATTTTCGCAGCTATTGGAGTTGGAGCATTAATTGGTTCTCCAATTTGTGGTATTATCATTGCTTCGAATTATGGATCATATACTGGAGCACAAACCTTTTCCGGGGGTGCATTAGTCTTGGGAGGCTCAATCATGATCGGAGCACGAGAAGCTAGAAGACGAGAAATTCATAATAGCATCTGGGCGAGGATATAATAACGCATAGGAGGTTATACGTACTTGGAGTAGTACAGGCAAGGATACTAATGAGAATGTAAAATAAAGCATTGATTTATCAAGTTCTTGTGAGCCTGCTTGAGAATCTCTTTAAGTGAATCAATAGAATAATATATTTAGAGCTGAATTGTTTTAATATATTCTTTATTATATAAGAATCAGCTAAATATAATAAGCAAAGCAAACCAAACCAAACCAAACCAAACCAAACCAAACCATACCAAACCAAACCAAACCAAACCAAACAATAATCAAAAATGTATTTCCTTCGCTCAAAGTTAAACTCTTATGATTAACAAGTGAAGCTAAGAAGTCATTTTCACTTTTTCGATTCTACTTCTCGCTAATCTTGCATGGTTAACAGCCCTTTTACCATTAGTACTTAGGTTCTTTACCGCCTCTATATGACCCTTTGTGTTGTAATATGCGCCTTCATATTTGGTTAAGAATCCAAGCCGCGCATTCATTTCACTAAGTAAAAGACTTGTTAGTATACAATGTTCAAATTTCAATATCAGTATCAAGTATGCTCAGCATTTTGTACTGTAATTCGTCTTGAGATATTCAAGATATTGGATTTGGATAACGTACTCAATTGCGAGTCCGGCCCATGTAAGAGCATCTTTTCGGAGGATTTCAAGATCTTTCGCAGAAGCATTCTTCTTCAAGCTCTGATTATAGCTTCCTTGGAAGACTCTTCTGCTATCGTCTTTTTTTATACCAATTGCCTTGTATTTTGCATACTCGTCTTTCATCTCGTCGGTCCATACTTTTGTATTAGGAAGGGGTTGTTCGTTTGTTGTTTCGGTTATCTCTCTTTCGCACTCTTCTATTATAGAACGAATCTGCCCACTGTAGACTTTAGTCAATTCTGTAAGTTCAGATTTGCCAGAGTTATGTGTTTTCTGTGAATCTCCTGATGCCGCTGATTTACCGGATTGGTGAGATCCATCTGATTTTTTGGAATTGTTGGAATTGTTGGAACGGCGAGAACCATCTGATTTTTTGGAATCGTCAGAACCAGAACCAGACCCAGGATCATTTTTGCTTGAAGAGCCCTTGGTTTTGCTCGAAGAGCCCTTAGTTTTACATGTACACTTCGATTGCCTATGTTTACATGTTTTGCAACACGTGCAAGTGCTAGTGCTGTGACCACACTTCTCGCATTTCGGCATATTGGCGAAGATTGAGGTAATAAATAATAAAGTCTAAAAGGAGCAATCGAGGCAAGGAATACTCTGAAGATAACTAGAATTCTGAATGATATAAACGTGGCGGTGATTAAAGCTGTTGAGAATGGAGATAAAATAAAATTCTGATAGATTTATTTGGTATTTTATAGGTATCTTGAACTGGTTGTTCAAGTGTGAATACCAACAAAACACATGTATAGTGATGATTTGATGTCAATATGAACCTTTTTGGTGGCCATTCTGTTAAGCGCTTCTGTATAGATAAATTGTAGAAATACATGTATAGTGATGATTTGATGTCAACATGAACCTTTTTGGTGGCCATTCTGTTAAGCGCTTCTGTATAGAGAAATTGTAGAAATACATGTATAGTGATGATTTGATGTCAACATGAACCTTTTGAATGACCATTCTGTTAAGCGCTTCTGTATAGAGAAGTTGTAGAAATACATGTATAGTCATTTGATGTTAAGATTAATCCATTTTATAGTCATTCAAAAATTAAGCGGTTCTATACATGGAATTTATATAGCTTGTCTACAATGCTACGAAATATTTTTGATAAAATCTATTAATAATACTTGCTATCCAAGATTTTAAGCCTCATCATTCATGAATCTTTTTTGTACAAACACTTAACACTCACTATCGCTCTGCCCCCTCTGTCTTGAAAGAATAGGATAACCCTGGAGGAATGGGATAGAGTAGCTTGAGGAGTTCTGTAAGAAATAATTGCAAATAAGGGCAGCCTTCGAGCGACGCGAATGTGATTTGTTACTGGTCATTGTACTATGATTATAGTGACATTACCTACTGATGGTTTTTTAACGCAATTTTTGGATATCAGCTGAATGCCGCGCCAGTTGGTGCAGTGTGCGACTCAGCAAAGCGGATCTTTGTCTCGCTAGGCTGAAAGCACATTGAGAGAGTAGTATCGAATGTCTCTCAGGCTCTGTATTGTGCTTGCTAACTCACAAAAAGATTTGGCGGGATACATGGACAAGTTCAGTCTTGTGATATATACTCTAACTATTATTCCGAGGATTTTATTGGTGGTCAGCATCGGTGGTAACCACAACCCTAATGGGGGTAGTGACTATGAAAAATCCATAATAAGCTCATTAAATCGCTTATTAATATCTTACTAATTAAGAGATATCTTGATGACTAATATATATATATAATATGATTTTATATTATAAAATTATATTATTATATAGTTATATAATAGAATCTCTTATCAAATTGATTTATAATGGAATAGAATGAAATGGAACTAAATGGAAGCATATGGAAGATCATTGATAAATTGACTAAATTTGATTGGTTATACTTTCCTTTTTATTATAAAATGATATTATAAGATTCGATTTAAATCGATCTTATTTATAAGCATAGAACATACTAGAATTTCATTATAAACTATATAAACTTAGGATATTCTTTAAAGAAAACCTAAAAAAAAAAAAAAAAAAAGTAAGCAATTTTCATTCAAATTAAGCCTAGTTTTTATAAATTGATTTTAATTCAATTCTTATTATATATATATTTGATTTGTTCTTTAAGCTTAAATTGACTAGATCTTCCATTATCATTATAATAATATTATTTTTTATTATTATAAAAGCTAATCTTTTAGAGATTATAAGCCTAGTTAATCTAAATTAGCTTAAAAAGGGAATTAGCTTGATTGAAGGCTGTATACCACATATATATAGCTACTGAGCTATTGAATATCGAATTTTCGAATCAATTCAATTGAATTTATATTGAAAAGCACTATATATAAACCCTAAGATCTGTATTCCTGAAGCTAAATCTAATTGAGCATATAAAATTAGGTCCCTAAATGATATATTTATACTATATTACTACTCAAAGCAAGTGATATCAATTTTCTTTATATTAAAATGCCTTAATTTATTTAGTTTTTATTCTATATTAAATAAAATAAAGATTTAATTTAAAAGGTAACTGGTCTATTAAGATCTTTAAGATTAAATTGATTTTAAATTGATTTATTTATAAAATCTATTCAAAATTCGAAAAACTAGCTATAAAAATATATAGACTAATATTAATCCAATATATAAAATTAATAAACCTATAATAAAAAGAACTTAAAATAACTTTTAATATTAATTTTAAATTTGATCTTTTAAAAAGCAGATTTAATTATATTGAATAAATTAATTAAACTAAACTCTTTTTTGAAATAAATAATTTTATATTATATATTAATAACATAAAAGTTTTATTTAATAAAAGTTTATATATAAATAAATTAGAAAGATTTATTTTATTTGAATTAGTTATAAAATATAATAAAAAACTTTTAGAATATTAAAGAAATAAAAGAAAGGTTTTAAAAGTTATTAAATCTATAATTAATTTTGAATTAATTAAGAGATTCAATAATAAAATATTAGCTAAAAATCTATAGAATTTTATTAATAAGATATTTGGAGAATCCTCTATTGAATTAATAAAAAGATATCTAAATAAATTAATAGAATTTAATTATATAAATTTTAAAAAAATGAATAAATATATTAATTTAATTTAATTATTCTATAATTATTTAAAATCAATAAAATTCAATATTTTTAATACTTTTATAATATAGTTTCTTTTTAAAAACCTATCAAGCTTATTTGATAATTTTATTTTTCGAAAATATAAAGAATTAATCAAAAATCTGGTTAATATAGATTTAAATAAACTCTTTTTTGAGCTAATATTCAAAAAAGCTAAAATGTATTTTAATATTGATTTAAATATTAATAAAACTAGTTTTAATAAAGCTTTCTATTATAAGTATTATTCTAAAAAGGAATATTTAGAATTTAAATACTTTATAAAATACTTTGAATTAAAAACTAATAAAGGAAACTTTAATTAAATAAATTAATCTTTTAATTATATATCTATTTAATATCTCAATTATTTTATTCTGAGAATGAATATATAAACTAATATATTTATATATAATCCTATAATTTCGAATAAAATTCAATTATTTATTCAAAAGGAATTTAAGAGTATTATCTAATTTCAGTATTTTAATATTAATATTAAATTGATTTCTAATTAGATTATAGAATTTTATTAGAATATTATAAATTTAAGATTTGAATTTAATAAGATATACTCAGATAGCTTTAATAATTCAATTAATAAAGATTAAAAAATATTTTTTATTTTTAATCTTTATAATTCTAAAAGATTTAGTTATATTTAGATTGAAATTTTTAAATTTAGAATTTAATTTAGGGATTTTTAAGGATTTCTTATTTATTTTTTAATAAAATTTGCTGAATTTATATAATTTATATATTTCTAAATCAGATTTAAATATATCTGATTAAATATTCAAGGATTTAATAATATAATCTTTATTTATATAATCTAATCTTTTATAAATTAAATTGAAATTGATTTTATTTAGGGTTAGGGTTAGGGTTAGGGTTAGGGTTAGGTAGGGTTAGGGTTAGGGTTAGGGTTAGGGTTAGGGTA